GGGGACGGCTTCTCTCCGGTGTCGGTGGCCGTTGTCCTGGAGGCCCTACGCGGCCAGGCCCGGTTGGCCTCAGCCCTGAGCCTCCCGGAACTGCTCTGGCGGCACTGCTGCCCCGGGAGGCTCAGGGCCGAGGCAGGCCCAACTAGCTGATAGTTCGCCCCACTAGGCCTCGAAGCACCGGGGCATGAGGGAGGACATCACCTCAGCAGGCCCCGGCCCAGCCCTGCCTCAGCGCCCAGCTGTCCATATCGGTGGAGAGTCATTCACACCCTTCTCCCTGAAGTTTTGCCATGTGGCACTTAGTGGTTGCAGCAGGGTGGGAGCTGTTAGTCTCTTAAAAATAACACTGCTGTGTTTAAAATGCTTGTGGTGGCATTTAAATAGAGGTTAAGGTGTTACTCCATGAAGCACATCAGGGAGCAATTAAGAATTCCAGTTCTCACCAGGTGTTCTCTGGGAACACCAAAATTCCAAACATCTCCCACCTGGAGTACTGTATCTGTCTCAGGGGCCCACAGTACAGGACAGATATGGACCTGTCAGAGTGAGGCCAGAGGAGGGACATGCGAATGGTCAGAGGGCTGGGACACCTCTCGTATGGAGAAAGGCTGAGAGAGTCGGGGTTGTTCAGCCTGGAGAAGAGGAAGTTCCTGGGAGACCTTTTGTGGCCTTCCAATATATAAAGTGGGGTTATTAAGAAACACTGGGACTTTTTCTCAGGCCCTGTTGTGACAGGAGAAGGGGCAATGGTTTTAAACTGAAAGAAGGTAGGTTTAGATTGGACATAAGGAAGACAGTTGTTATGATGAAGATGGTGAGACCTTGACACAGGTTGCCCAGAGAAGCTGTGGCTGCCCCTTCCCTGGCAGTGTTCAAGGCCAGGCTGAACGGGGCTTTGAGCAACCTGGTCTGGTGAAAGGTGTCCCTGCCCTGGCATAGGTGGGTTGGACTAGATGATCTTCAAAGGTCCCTTCCAACCCAAACTATTCTATGATTCTGTGATTTTTGTGAATAGGTGAGAGTTTAGCTCTAATGAGGAACCCTCTGGTCACTCCCATCACTTCGATGGGGTATGTTAGCATATGCCTTTCTTAAAGAAAATATTTTCTTAATAATCTTAAAAATATTTCCCCTGTAGCAAGTGAAATGTGATGAGAAAGATAGATTTCTTTGATTTTGTTCTGAAGTCCTTGCAAAGGCTGGGTATGTTTATGCTGCTAATGGCTTGGGGGAGAATGGGGAGGTGGCTTGAGCAGGTCATGCCCATCTGATATATGACCAGCAGTGCTTCTTTCCCCACAAAGTGCAAGTGGAGGACGGTGAATGTGAGGTAACAGGTGTGTAATTTCCTTTCTCCCTACTTCAGTAGATCAAACCCTTCACTATTCTGGGCTGAAAATGAGAGCAGAGCAGGAGCTGGGGCGGTGGGTTTTGGTAACGTGCTGGAAGTCAGGGACTTGGGTTCTTTTCCTTACTTCCCTACAGATATGCGGAGTGACATTTGGTGCCTTAGTTTCATCCTGTGTAAAATGTGTATATTTACATGCAAGGATGCTTTCAGAATTGGTTCTGGAGAAGAAATACTTAGACACACTGCTGATGTTTCAGCAAGATGTATTTGTAAGTGGCACAATCCGTGTGCAGTTGTCAACTCCACCCTTTTTACTTTCTGTTTCCTGTTTTCTTCCATTTTGTCACTTGCAAAAAAAACCAAACCTGCTTGTATCAAACAGCACAGGTACCAAAGAAGCAGCCAAAGGCATGTGGCTGTTTCTTTCCCTCAGCTGTTTCTCTTCTGTCTTCTGTTTTGCAGCTTCATTTGTGCTGTCATTAGTGGAGAGCAGTGGAAGGGTATCCAGCTCTTATATATGAATTAGTCTCCTTAGGTTCCCACAGTCCGTTTCTGTGATAGTGAAAGTGAAAGCTGACTCTGAAGAGCTGTAGAAGAATTTTGTGACAGTGACTGATTTGACTATAAAATAGCAGGTGAAAATTCAGCATTGATAAATGGAAAATTATGCATTGGTTAGAGCAACAATCTGATGCCCTCCATACTATCTGATACCATTTAGGAAAGAGATCTGGGGGACTGTAATACATAGGACTGTGAAAGTGTCGGCTCCATGCTCAGAAGCAATCTAAAATTTGATTGAAATACGAAGAATTATTAAAAAGAGAAAAATACAGAGTGCCATTGTGACTTCGTGTTGTAAATGGTAGCCAGCCCACCCTTTTGAAGGAACATAGTGGGAGTAGAGAAGAGATTGAGAAGTGACAGGGAATGGAGTCCATGAGCAGCAGTTTTAAGACCTGCGAAAGCAAGGGGTTGTTTAGGTAAAACATAATTAAACGATGGAACTGGAACCATGCCCTTAGCCTCTCCCTTCTCACTTGAGAGCACCCAACTGGATCCGTTGCCCCATTTAGCTCGGTATCCTCTCTTTGGTGGTAATCTGTAGCAGCAAGCTAGGGAAGAGCACAGGCCTGAAGCAATGCTCCTGTGGGGGACAGAATCCTGAGCTAAATGGGACAGTGGTTGCAGTCTGGATGCTTCTGCAGTGAGGAATGGCCAAGAGCTGTCCTTCCACTGCTTCAGGGTTCCTGCAAAGGCACTGAAGTAACCCCAAGGCTGAGCTTGACTGCATGTCCTCTGTTCTCCTACAGCACCAGGATTTTTCCTCAACCTGTAAGAACACCAGGGACTGTAGACTCCACCTTCAGCCTCTCCCTCACGAAGTTCCCAGGGCCCCTGAAGCTGGATCCTCCGACTGGGCCTGAGCAGGGCCTATGTATCTGCACCAATTCCAGGTATTAGCTTGCTGCAGAGAACTTTTCCAGAGTTCTAGGCCATTCAGAATCTAGCTTGTTCTGCTTTTTAATTTTTTTCCATCTTTGTTTTCTATTCTATTTCTAATATTTCCATGCATTTATATTTGTTTTTGTCATATTTATTTAATCCTTAAGTTCTGAGACTCATGTGATGGTCACTGTATAGATGGATGTTCAAAATCAGTCCCTACCTGTTGTGGTTTGAGCTCAGAGGGCAACTGAGCACCACACAGCTGTTCACTCACCGCTTCCCCCATCAGTGCTGGGAAGGGGAAAATAAAGCAAAAGGCTCAGGAATGGAGATAAGAACAGAGAGGGGTGGCTCACCCATTATGGTCATGGGCAAAAGACAGTCTTGTTAGGGGAAGAAAACAAGAACATCACTTTAATTTAAAGACTAACAAAACCAACACTTAACAGACAGAGTGGCGCAGGGAAAAGTGTTACCACATCTTAAAAACACCTTCCCCCACCCCTCCTGCCTTCCCGGGCTCAGCTTTGCTCCTAGTTTCTCTACCAATTCCTCTCCAATGGCACAGAGTATTGGGGTGTTGTCAGTCCGTTACACGTTGTTTCTGCTGCTTCTTCCTCCTTAGGGGGAGGACTCCTCGCACTCCTCCCCTGCTCCAGAGTGGTGTCCCTTTTACAAGAGACAGTGCTCCACGAGCTTTCTCTGACATGAGTCCTTCCCACGGCCTGCAGCTCTTCACAAACTGCTCCAGCATGGGTCCCTCCTGTGCATTGCAGTCCTCGCAGTGCCAAACTACAACAGTGGGGGCTTCCTACAGAGTCCCAGCCTTCTTTGGGCACAGCCACCTGCTCTGGTGTGGGGTCCTTCATGGGCTGTAGGTGGGCATGTGCTCTACTGGTGACCTCTGTGGTGGCAGGGGGGTGGCCCTGCTCTCTCACCACGGGCTGCAGTGGTTCTCTGCTGTGGTGCACCTCCCTTTTCCTCCTCTTCCTTTCTTATACTGACTTCAGTATTCGCAGAGGTGTCTCCCTCACAACTACTCCCACCCCTCCTCTTAGGTTCCCCTTCTTAAATGTGTCATCACAGAGGTGCGGCCACCATCACTAATCGGGTCCAACTTGGAGCTGGGGGAGCTTCTAGCACCTTCTCACAAGGGTCACCACTGTGGCCCCTTGCCCTGCTACTAAAATTCTTGCCACACACACACACACCCAAAACAGGTTGGCTGTTGAAAGCCAGAGAAAGGTTGTGAGATGTGCTGGACTCTGAGATTTCCTACCTGTTTTGTACTTTAACCTTACTGCCTTTCTTTCACTAGAATAAATTAACTTCAAATCTTCTTGTTTCTTGAAAGTAAAACCAGACTTTTCTTACCCTTATCCTACAGGAGTTTGTGCTGTCAGAGGTGACATCTCCAGTAAAGGCAGTTTGGAGTATCACACCTAGTAGGAGTGGGATATTGTTGATTTCTGCAGTGGACTTGCACAGCAACCACAAAGTAAGCTTCTACTGCTAGTGATGTGGCATGATGCTGTAACCTCCTGGTGGATGTTGCGGGTAAAAGCTTATCCAGAAGCATTTAGTCTGTTTTGTGAAATAAGTAGCTGGCCTTAAAATTTTGCAGCTACTGGGGGAAAAGAGAGACTGTGTGAAGAACAACTAAGACTTGAGTGAATATGTCCAGAAAAGGACAGCAGATGTCCATGGGGAAAATACCAGGGTATAGAGAAAATTATGTCACTCATGTTAGTGTCCCACCTCATTGAGAGGGAGTGTTCAGATCTCTCATTTCTGATGGTCTTCTGCCCTGTTGTCATGTTTTGAGCCCAGAGGGCAACTGAGCACCACCAAGCTGCTTGCTCACCCCTTCCTCCTCAGGAATGACAAGAAAAAAAATACAACAGAAGGCTCAGGGATTGAGATAAGGACAAGGAGGGAATTGCTCACCCATTATGGTCACGGGGTAAAAGACAGACTCTACAGGAAGAAAAAGAACATAGATTTAATTCAAGCACTAACACCAGCAACAATTAACAGAGTAGGACAGTGAGAAGTATTAACTACATCTTAAAAACACCTTCCCCCCACCCCTCCCTTCTTCCCTGGCTCAGCTTTGCTTCCAGTTTCTCTACCTCCTCCCCTTCATGGTGCAGGGAGCAGGGAATGGGGGGTGGTGTGGTGCAGTCAGTCCTGATTCTTCTTCCTCCTCAGGGGCAGGACTCACATTCTCCCCCTGCTCCAGTGTGGGGTCCCTCTCACAGGAGATGGTCCTCCTTGAACTTTCTCTGACTTGAGTCCTTCTCACAGGCCCTAGCCCTTCTCAAGTTGCTCTGGTGTGGGTCCTTCCTGCATGTTGCAGTCCGCCCAGTGCCAAACTACAACAGCAGGGGCTTCTTCCTTCAGAGTCCCGGCCTTCTTCAGGCACAACCACCTGCTTCAGCTCTGGGGTCCTCCACGGGCTGCAGGTGGGCATCAGCTCCACCAGCGACCTCCATGAGCTGCAGGGGCACAGCCTGCCCTCTCACCATGGGCTACAGGGGACGCTCTGCTCTGGTGCATCTCCCCCTCCTCCTCCTTTCTTCCCCTGCCCTCAATGTTTGCAGAGGTATTTCTTTCACAACTACTCCCACCCCTCCTCTTAGGTTCCCCTTCTTAAATGTGTTATCACAGAGACACAGTCACTGTCACTAATTGGCTCAGCCTTGGCAACAAAGGCAAGTCTGACTTGGAGCTGGGGGAGCTGCTAGCACCTTCTCCCTCTCCTGCTACCAAAAACCCCACCACTCAAATCCAGCACATTCTACCTCTGTGTGAATCACGTATTTAAGAATTGTCATTAAAATCCATATTCATTACACAAGACAGTATTCACAAGCTTTATTCACATCAGCACAAAAAACCCAAAAAGCTTCCTCACACTAAGTTAAAAATAACATAGTCGCAATACTGAAACCCAACTCACCCCTCATCTCTCCACCACCATCGCAACAACAGAAATTCCCATGATCGTTCCACTAACAAGGTTCAGTTTGTGTTTTGCCCGTTACCTCTCCCAATTACTATCCTTACCTTCTTGCATTCCTCTGCCCCATGTTGAGCACCAAAAAGTACTGTCAGGACTGTGTGGTTTGAGCCCAGAGGGCAACTGAGCATCATGGAGCCCCTCACTCATCCCTTCCTCCCTCAGGCATGACAAGGAGAAAATACAAAAAAAAAGACTCGGGAGGTGTGTGGTGGATGGGGAGTGACTCACCCATTATGGTCAAGGGCAAAGCACAGGCTCGTTAGGGGAAGAAAAAGAACCCCTCTCACCTAAACAAGCACAACACACCTCTCTGTTTCTTTGCTGTATCCTTTTTACAGTAAGGAATTAGTGTTTCTGCCTTGTTTTCAGTGACCTGGAAAGCACTGGAGAAATTTGGGGACAGCTATTTTTCTCTCTTTGGTTGACTTGCAGACCCACATGTGTCAGAACTAGCTTAAGGAGACCACTGCGATGAATAAATGCTCTCCAAATAAAAAGGGTTTTACATCTAGGGCATGACTTGCTGGCCTGCTCTTGGGCCTGTTGTTGGAGCAGAACAAGCTTGAAAACTCCTGTATTACCCCTTAGGACTCGTTAGTGACTTTCCAAGAGGAGATAAACGCATTTTCCTTCTGCTCTAACTGCTGGAGCTTTTGGGAGTTGGTTTCCATCCCACTGTTCTCCCAAGAGCTGGCTTTGCCTATTCCACTAGTAGCACCAAGGTTTAGGGGATGTAGGTGAAGGAGCAGTTAGAGGGCAGTCGCTGGCAAGCTCTGCTTTCCTCTGTTCATCCTGCTTGGCACATGATAGTTGCATGAATTGCTTTGTGTTTTATCCCAGTTTTCCTGCTCTAGGTGTTTTCCGAATAATGGCGAAGATGGTGAGAAGAACGTGTGCATTTTGTTCAGAAGGGGAGGCTGGTTCTGTAATGTATATTGCCAAAGAGCGAAATATTGCAGCTCATCAGGATTGTCTGGTGAGTGGCTTTTAGTTGGTTGGTACCTAAGAGGAATGGAGAAGAAGGGCTAAAGGGGAAGTTTCCACTGTGTGTCTATTTTTGACTCTACAGTTGTGTCTGAATTAAAAAGTTGGTTACCCAAACCACCAATTTTATATTAGTATGAAAAGCAACAGGGCTTGGCCAGAATTTTGGAGAGTGGGAGGACATGGCTGCACCACTGGACATGTTGGTTTGCGACATTTTTGTGCGTGTGTGTTCCTGATCAATGGTTCTAGACACGCATTCAGTCTAGCAGTAGGGATAGGTCTTCCTGAGACACTAAATTGGATGAGGTTTCTCAGACCACAGAAAGTTGTGTATTTACTTAAACTTACTTAATTAAATTTACTTAAAATATTCACATCACTTGATATATCAAGGTGAAAAACTTCCCAGTCTGTGCCTTATATAAAACAAGAAATAAAAATACCAGAAGTTGATTATATGAAAATATCTGTGAAGCTCTAAAGTGTGCTGTGATCCTAGAATATTTACTCTTCTTGCTGTCGAAGTGCCTCCCCTTTATTCTGGGATCTTAGTGGAGCTGATTCTTGGCATGCAGAATCAATTACAGCTGCCATATTCTCCCTTAAGTGGGGGTTGCTTAGTGCAGGAGATGTGTCTGCTGCTGGAACAGCTTTTTGGCTTTCACTGTTCCAACCATCTTTATTCTTGCAAGTTTTATGTTTACATCTTAATTTTTCTACTTTTTTTTTAATAGCAGAATGTTTCAGAAACATCTGATACCTCTTTTACAGTGTTACTTGAATGTTTTTTTAGGACTCTAATATTGCTTCAGTGTTGAAACTTTTTTTTTTTTCCCCACTTTACTAATTTCTCTGACCTGCCTTCAGCTTCTCTGCGCTTTTTGGCTTTTTTGTAGTTAGCTATCACCTTCAGACAAACTGTGTCTGCAGTTGACATAAGGGTAGTTCACTTTTGTTTGGAATTAGTTATATATAACAGTTAGAAAAAATTTGCTAAGAACTTCCCTTTCCTTACTTGTTGACATGGCTCAGCACTTCTGTGGGAGTTAGAGTGGCCCAAGTGTGCATGTATACTTTTTTTTGTGGGTTTCTCCCAAGCTTTGTACAATGTTCTTATGTTTCTCATGCAGTCAACTGTTGTCAGCATTGGACTGTGTGGAAATTTTATTAGCACAGAAATGTTGCATCCAGCTGTAAGGCTGAACAACGGGGCAGATAACAAGATGTTCAAGGTGTGGAGGCCTGTCAGCCGAAGTGCTTCTCCTCCTTGCTCTGGGCAGCCTGAACTTCCAGACTTTCTTCATTCCCACTTCTTACTAAGTTCACTTTTTCACCTTGTTATCTTTTCTTGGTTCACCTTCAGGTCATGTAAAATCTCCTATGTAGACAGAGGAACTTTTGACTGAAAAAAAAGTTTAAGCACAGCACCTTGCTCAGTGCAGGTGAAACCTGTTAAAAACACAGAAAAATCAGCTTTCTTAGGTAGGGCAAATATAAGAAGAAAAGATGTACCCTTCCTCTCTTTTCTGCACTGGTGACTGAGTCCCTCTATTAATTTGTAATATTGTTTCTTTTGTCTTTAGTTATTTTCCTCAGGATTTGTGGAATCCGAAGAATATAACCCAGATAATCTAGATTTAAGGTTTGATGTGGCATCAGTGTTGAAAGAACTCAAAAGAGGAAAGCGGCTGGTAAGAATTTCCTTTCTGAATCTGCACTTAGTCCTACCTCACAGTACAGAAGGTTGTCTGGCCTGTTTTATGCTTGGAAAAAAATGCAGAAAAGTACTCGGTCCTGATCTACTAAGGTTAAGGAAATTGCAGATGTAGAGTTAGAAACAATGATTTAACATTATATTTGGTGAAATTTACTTCATTTTGTATTAAAATGTGTTGTTCTTTCTGGCCTTTAAGTCCTTAGTCTGAGTTTCCTAAGAGACTTTGGTAAATGGCTAAGGCAGTGCCTGAAACAAAATTATGCAGTCTGTAAGCATAAAGGGAAACACCTTCTGGTTTTAGCAGAAGGAAGGTTATTTATATGAGGTTTTCTTAGTGGCTTTGTCTCCAGCTGCCCTCCTCCCTTACATCCTGGGTGGAACTCTTTTGATTTTGAAGTTAGCCTGGAAAACATAAATACAAGCACTAATACTGATAGGTATTGAAATAACTTGGGCAAGATTTAGGGGAGGGGGCGGTTGCCCAGTGTCCTCACGTGGCTCTTGGCATCATTTTAGAAGTTCCTCAGTATGAAATAGAGATAAGATAGCAAAAAGGTGTCTGAAATAATGACCAGGGTAGGAGTTTTTAGGAGTGAACTTGCCTGATGAGTTATACAGAGGCAACTTGCAACAGAAGATTTGATTTTCTCACAGAGGATAGTATTTGCCTTGTATGATAGGATTTTCAGTAGCTATCTGTAATGCTTACCTGCTAAACTTCATCCTGTTCTAGGTGTGCAACTTCTGTCGCAAGAAAGGAGCCACTGTGGGATGTGAGGAAAGAGCCTGTCGCAGAAGTTATCACTACTTCTGTGCACTCTGCGATGATGCAGCAATAGAAACAGATGAAGTAAATGGAGTCTACCGGTATTTAACCAAGTATTTTCTAACTAATTATTTTTTTGGTGGTAGTGTCAGAAAGAGAGGCTTAAAAATTGTGAGTTTTAAAGTTTTTTAAAAAGGAAATATGTTCTCTCAAAGTGATGCTCGATCCTCTGTTCACAAGCAATGGGGGAAATGTTTTCCTTTCACAGGAAAACAGAACAGCAATGGGAAGAAATGTCTTCAGTGTTTGAGCCTGCAACACACCTGAAAGATCACTAGGCCGAAACCAAGGAAGTCAGACTCTCTAGCTAGTCTTCAAAGACCAAGATTTTTATTAATGTCACTCACATTCTCAGTTTCTGTTGGTTCAGAAGCTTCAGTAAATGTGGTCTGAACACAGAGCAGGCTATAGCACTTCTGGATCTGTTCACATTAGGCAAATTCTGGTAATTTCCACTCCATATGCTAGTAGAGAACTTTGTATTCCCACCAAAGTTATATTTTGAGTACATTGCTAGCATTAACACAACTAAACAGACTTAAATTTCTTGTCCTAATCATGCTAGTCCTTCCTGGTATGTGCTGCCCGTGGGCTGCTTGCATTGCCATTAGTAGATGGAAAGAGTTGTTTGGAGGATGAAGATGAAGGGGTTGAGAAATTGGGACTTTAGGGACCTTTTGAAGTGCAGAAGTTATAGTAAAGTCTGAGGTGCATAAACCCCCTGATCAATGTCCATTTCTATTCAAGGCCAGAGAGATCACAGGCCATGTTAGTCTTAAAATTAATCTGGTAGATCATCTAATCACTACTTCACTGTTTCAGGAAGAGGTGCAATCTTAGGTAGCAGTGGATGATGGGTCCTTTTGTGTCAAAACACTTGCACTCCTGGCTGCTTGATTAGGGCTCAGTCCAAAATAAATACATCTTTCTGCAAGGCTGTAAGCTCAGCTGTATGGCATAGGTAATATATTTAGCTTATGCTTAGAAAGTTTTGGAAAGCTGCAAAGTTCTTGGAAGAGTGTAGCTGGAAAGATGAAAACCTATGATCACAGAAGTGGCTCTCATCATATAGCTTTAGAAAGGGGTTTTGCTGATTAAAGATACCAATTAAAGTCCGACACCAAAGTGAAAAGAGTAGGCATATTTTACTGGGGTAACTAAATAATTTAATAGAGTAATACAGAAGACATACAGTGAGAAAAGACAAAATAGTGGACTTAAATAGGAAAATACAGGGTAATGCATCAAATCATTACTACATGAGAGGGAGAATAGTGATTAAGAAAGATCCGTCACCACTTGCATACGTTACCATCATCCAAACCCGCAGTGGCTGGGCAGCCCCGGTTACAGCGAGGGTTTGGGGAGCCTGTCCCAGCAAGTGGGAAATCCTACACGGTGCGTCCACCTGTAGGTGAGGTGTCCAAAGTCACTGTGAGTGGGTCCAGCCTTATATACCCCAAAATCAGCAAACGAGAATAACTGGCACCTTTGTTTTGAGTGGACATATCTTGTTTCACTCTCACATTAGATTCCCCCAGAGCCTGGCCAGGGCTCAAGGGAGAAGCTAAGGGAGTTTCCCTGCTTATCTAATTTATGAGCAAGGTCACACATCAGGTCACAAGGCCAGACAGCTGGCTCCATGACCCTGTTATCTTATCCACACGCAAAGAAAGATAAAGATACATTCGAGATAGCTACATCTTCCACACATATTTCACTAATGACTCCATACTGAGTTAGCAGTTTCAGCTCAGGGCCTGTTGTTCAGGCTTCAATACTTCCACTTTTTACATCAGCATAGGTGGTTTGTTATAACATGGTACAATACCTACTAGCACAATGGTTATCAGTTATAAAATATACAGCATTCATCTATAGGTCAACTCTGGCTTGGGCTGGTTGTCCAAACCTTAGCACTTCAAAATGATACATCAAGCTGAAGAAGACTGAACCTCTCAAGATGTTGAAAAATGAGCTGATAACAGCCTATATACAAACTGTTAAAGATCTGGTTGAATATATGGTTTAATTTGGTGGTTTTCTGAACTGGTACACTTGGAAGTGGAACCCTTAAAAATGCTTTCTATTAAGTCATGGCGTGAGACTAGTAGCTTGTCCTGTATAGAAATACAGGAAACTCGGCTATAGCAACCTGTATTGAAGAGATGGAGAAGGACTGTATTAGAGAAAGGTCGTGAGGCAGGTTTCAGGGATTTGAACCCAAAGACTTTTGCACAGTATTAGTGGCATAAATAAAGCACAAAATTTGTAGCTAGCTTAAAATTATTGGAGAGAAGACGAACAAGACTTAACAGTGGATGTGGATTGACAGCCTCCTGCACTTTTTTTCATGGTGAAAGATAACTTTCTGAAAAGCATATCAAAAGAGAGAATCCCTTATTTAAAGAGAGAGATGGTGTTTATGAATTCTGAGTTGCCATCATTGTGATGATGAGCACTGGTTCTCAGAACAAAAAAGAGAGGGTATACTGTGCTACGGAAGTGGCTAGTAACAGTAGAGGTGAGGAAATAAGCGTAATTTTTCCTCCCACCTTGCAAAAATGGTAGTAGGGAAATGTTTCCAAATAAAGTGGTCTGAGTAGTAAATGTCTGTTCTTGATAAGATGCTCTTGTACTAGGAAGGTTGGTTTTAACTGGATAAGAATAGAATTAAAGGGAGGGAAGAAAAAAAACAGTGTCTAAAGGGTAATATTAGAAATTCAGGGATGTAAATAAGGTGTCTCCAGTACATAGCTTTCTGATTGAATTGTTAGGCATGCATAAATCTGGGGTTTTGTACATCAAAATGCATTTCATGCAAAAAAGCTGGCTCGTCAAGGAAACAGACTGAGTTTCTAAGGTCAGTGCTTCTATTTTGTTAAAATAAAGGAATGACAATAATTAAAGGGAACTGCATTTTCTAGGACATTTTCTAAAAATTGCTTCCAAACGCTTGAGCATTAGTCTTGGCAAATAGATTTGTAATGAAGAGATTAGCTAATCACACTCTTGACAAGGCAACTTTACTTAAAAAGTGATTTGGGATCCTTCTGTAAGAAAGGCATATTATAGAAGCTGATTCATGTTCTTTACACATTATTGTATCCAGAAGATAAGGAATGTTTCCAGCTGTATTTGTTGCATTTGGCCTCTTCCAAGGGATTCATATTGCTCCCCTAGAACCAGAGAAAATATTCCCATCTCACGTATTACTGAAATCTTCGAGGAATGAATAGATTGAGCAGCTTTAAGCTACTGGATCTCAAAGAGGGTGCCCTACTTCCTCAGGATTTGGAGACCACCTCATCAGTGCTGGGCAGCAGAAAGGGAGGGGCATGGAGATCTCCAAGCAAGTAACTGGTACTTGTGTGTGGCGGTGCTGTGCCGTGTGGCTGTGCCAGCATGTCAGGCAGGGCTTATAAATTCAAGCTGACTGGTAAGCAGATGTGTCTAAAGAGGTTCTGGACCTGGCCTGAGTGGTACAGGGCAAGGGGACAGCACTGCTGCAGCTACGATCAAGCAGTATTAGTACTGTGGTATTTCGTCTTGGTGTCATTAATCTCATTTTAATAAGGTGTTTCAATAAGAGTACCTCTGCCACAGTGTTCGCTGCACCAGATGAAATGTGCCTGACACAGAATTTGAACAGTGAGCAAATCCAAATAGAGTGGGGTAACAAAACTGGTAATTCAAAACTTCAGTGTTCAGAATCCACTGAGGCTCTACAAGTACAAATACAATCTTGTGCATGTATGTGACTTTACAATAGGTTCTTCCCTAGGTGGGTAATGCTGAACAAAAATCCTGATAATTCTTTTAAGCGTCTTTCAGTTTACATTCAATTAAAAGAGGGGAAATATCTGTTAAAAGAAGTCAGCATAACTCTGTTTACATATTTATTAATACTTTTTTTCTTTTTCTTAAAATTGAACTTAAATTTTAGAGTGTTCTGCCCAAAACATGACCCAGGCAATAGGACCAATCACTATGGTGAGTTTCTTTAATGGCTTCATTGATTTCATTTGTTTTAAAAGTTTGCATCCTACAGTCAATAATTCATTTGAACAAAATAAATGTTACTCCACCTCTGTACTGAGTGGTGGATTTCTAATCTTGCAGGAGTGGTTTGGTTGAGGTCCATGTGTATGCATAAAAATTGAGAAAGTTTTTTGAAGTAGGAAGTGTTTATATTTGATCTTCCCCAAATCTCTTTCAAAAGTGACTTAAAAGGCTGTGGACCTGATCTTTCGTGGAATTATTCTGACTCTGTGTGGGCAGGTAGGCCAAACAGCTTGTAAAATCCATGTGAGATATGAGAGCCATGCTAACAAGTGATGCACAAGCTTGCAGTTGGTAAGCAAAGAGATGGCTGTTACAGGAGTGGTCACCTTAGGATTTTTATCTGTATTAAAACCTTCACATTTGCATTTTCTGTATTCCCTGCAGTGTTTTTTTTTAAATAGGGCCTTTCATTCTGAAGGATCCCAAAGAGCTTTTTAAGTGTAACAAAAGGGTTATACAGCTCCTGCTTAAGGATTGCTTCCTTTGCTACAGAAATGTGGCTTAATTTGGCAGTCCTGGTCCTTGCTGATTCAGAGGTGGTCAGGATTCTCCCTGAATAAGCAAGCAAAGCTGTCACTTTGTTAACCTAATGTATACAGTCCTGCTCAAAATGGAGTGAGTCCTAGACTGGCCTTCAATTTGACCTTAAGCTCAATTGAACTGTGAGCACTAATGCTGAGAGTGGTGTGCTCCTCCTGAAGTCTAGCAAACTTTAGCTAATCTTCTTCAGAAAGTCTGACTTCACCCTGATGTCACTCAAGGGGTGGGTTAGGTGATTATCATTTAAACTTCTAGTCATAGGGTCTGGGGCTTCTTGGCCAGACACACTGTTTAACACCTGATAATTGCTATGGTTCACTAATCAAATGCAGCTTCTTATTTCACTTAGTAGTTTTTCTTTTTATTTACCTGTACATCTGAGGCCTGGCATTCCCTCCCTTTTTAAAATTAGTTTGATTTCTGTGGTCTAATGGTTGTCAGTCTGTTAGGTCTGTCTGGGATCCCAGGTTGTCTCCTGCCCAAGTACTAGACAGGGCCAGGATTGCTTTGTTTTCAGTATGAGATGAGATTAAGGCATTAAGTCCAGCCCTGTAGACCACCTCCTTCATAAGGACAACTTAAATGTTAAGAGGTTGAAGGTCTTAGTGTCTTCACGTGTTGCATATACAGTGTATGACCTATTCCCTGAAAAAAGTTTTCTCCTAGAGGACATCTTCCAGAGGCACTTAATTTGGAGACCCTCTGTTTATGAGGTTTAAAAGTATTCTGCTGGAGTGTCTGCCCTGCCTCCTGAATGAGCTTCTGTCTGACAGAGTAGCTGCACCCCAGGAGGTGGGGAGCAGCTTCAAGAGTTGAGTAAATGACACTTGGTTCTCCAAGCCCGGTGTCTTCCGCCTCTGAGCAGCTCTCAGATGCATGCATGGTGGCCACAATATTCAGAGGTACCTGCTGGTGAGCTGGCTGAAGCAGCAGGTTCTGTGGCCCACTCCTGGCCCATCTGGGCAGGCAGGGGCCACCTGTGCTGAGTGTGCTTGCAGGTCTGCACAGGGTGGGGGTGAGACAGGCTGGGATGGAAGTGCCGTGGCTCCATGGTAGAGTTTTGCATTTCAGGATCCCAACTCAGCTGAAGCAGCTCAGCTGTTCCTCTGGGGCAGGTTGACCCAGCGCTGGGCTGTGTAGGAACAGAAGAACAAGGGCTGCCTCTCCAGGCTTGTTTTTCTTGGTACTTGGAGAAAATGGGGTCAAGGAACATCCCCTTGTTCTTGGTCGAGACAACGTTCCTGTCCTGAAATCCTGTCCTGCTGTGCTCTGCTGTGTCCTTGGAAGGGGGGAATAGTGTGCCTTAGGGGCCAAGATATCTCCTTGCAGCTCTGCACAGCAGGCATGGGAAGGAAGTTTGGACTTGGAAACAGGCTTCAACCTCTGCTTAACTGGAAATGTTGAATGTACAGAAGAACAGAAAACACTGGTGTGGGGGTTTAGGCCCTGCCTGGACCAGAGACCATGTTGCCATTGTCCCTCCCCCACCCTCAGACCAGGCAGGGCTGGAAGTGAGGCACAAACCCCAGGGTTGAAATAAGGAAAAATTTAATACAACAGTGTAATAAATAACAATCTGAACAACAACAATATCAACAACAATAAACAGTAATAACAGTAAACAAGACAAAAGATATACAGAGAAACACCACAAGGGACACAGCCAGCTCGCCACGTGTGCTTCCTGCAACAAAAGCCCACAGGAAACTGTTCCTGCGCTTGGCGCATGGACCTGACATCAACATGGTATTGAATAACCCAGCTAGAGCCCTCTCCCCACTGCTGAGGAAACAACCCTATCCTAGCTCAACCAGGACAGTTGGGTAGCAGGAAGGGTTGGGCTGCTCTTTAGACTGTGTTTCTCTTGTTTTATAAGACATCTCTAAAGAAAACAACAGAAAGAGCTGAGAAAAATCCTACCACAGGTCAAAGATGTTGTGGTAGACAGCAAGGAACACTTTGTGCCTACACCAGTGTCTCCCAGACTGCTTTAAATTAAGCCACCCAGTTTTATTTTGGATTAAATGAGAGGCTATGATTTCCTTTCAGGACATGAAAAATGCAAATGTACAGTGGCAGTACCCAAAACCTAAACTTGTTTATACAACCTTCCTTTACCAACAGTAATTCCTCATTCCTCTTAATAGCATGGTTTCTAACACGAAGAACCTTACTAAGTGATGCCCAAAAGAGGTAGAGTTAAATGGGAGAGAGACATATAACCCCACTGCATTTAAAAGCCTCAGGTTTTGATTCTCTCTCTTTCTCTGCTCCTGCCAAGTCTTCCTTGCCAGAGTAATCCTTCTCTGCTTCTGCTGTTGCAGGTGTTTTCAGCAGCTGCCAGTTCTGACGTTGGAGAGAGGCTGGTCCATGCTGATAGAAAGGAGAGAGTGAAACAGATAATTTTGCAGAGATCTCATGCTATGTCACTAAAAACACTTTGTAGCATAAATAATATTAAACTTACAAGTCAAATTACTTCCGTGGGCTTTCTAGGAGAATGATTGTATCAGTGAAAAACCTAATGCCCTTTGTATGTCTTTGGGACACCTAAAATAATTCCTTATGTAGTCTTGGTTTTGAGGGTGTATGGACATAAACAAGAATTGACTGAAAAAAAAACCCCAGTCATCTTAAATTTGCCTGGAGTTTTTACCACATAGAGGTAGTGCTGCTGCCAGAGAGAATAAGTTCACTCTGCCACAGTCAAAAATCTTATGTTCAAAACTGGGGTTTGAATAATGTGAATTCCACTGAAATGTCAAGGATTTGGGGAAGCAGAAACATACTCTTGTCTTGCCACCCAAAGTACCTCACTTTTATAGCATATTGGGAAAAGAGAGAATTTGAATGATGTGAAATCATCAGTCTGGGATTTACACATTTGTAACTTTGTTGTTTATTGATTCCTAGATGCAGCTAGTAAGAGGAGAAGACATGAATTGAAATCTTCCACCATCACAGAACAAATGGTAATTCTAAATTTGAATAGTTCAAAAGAGGAACCCACATCTGCTATAAGCAAAGGATTTCGTTAGTGAAGTATTTTGACTATGTATTCAGAGAGAGACTTCCTCACAGAAGCAGTAACTTTTTCTTTACAGCTGCCTTGTTTTGATCTTGTGCTGCCCTCAGGTAACATGGCACAAATGCGATAGGAACCTCTAAACCAAGCTGACTCAGTGGAAGTACTTCTTTTTTTTTTGGAAGTACTACATCCCTTAGGCTTGCTTAGGGCTTGACACAGTTTCCATGAAAAACTGCTTTTGATGAGTCTCTTAGCCTTTTAAATGGGCACTTAGCTTGTTTGTGAGCCTGTGCTCATGGTAAATGTGGCAGATTTTCATTGCAGATCAGGCAGTTCTCAACTCTGCTGATGGAGATGGCCTTCCCAAGCCTTCAGGAGCTATCAAGCAGAGCATCCCTCTGGTTGCAGGGGAAGTGGTTAATGACTGTTTACGACAGTGAGCCTGTTGTAGGACTTGTAAATACAGCTTATTTTAAGTTTTGAGGTGATTCTCTTGGCTCCACGGAAGTATGCATGGGAACTCCCATTGACTCTTGGAGGGACTGGGATTTCTCCTTTCTAAAGGAATCAACATCCATCTTTCCTTGGCCTTGAGATTAAAGGAGGGGCGGGTCATATGAGGGGATGTGGATGATCTTTGCAGATTTTATGTAGTACTCTTGTAAGGGTAGGTTGTCTCCCAAGAATTTCTCAGCTGTAGATCTGCTTCCTGGTATTAAAACTGAGTTTTATTTGACCTGTTACCAATAGTAATGTGATATTTCTGCTGCTCTCCAGTACTAGCCATCTTGGAAATCGATACAAACACTGCAAATGAGAAGCTGAGGGGCTCCAGGTTTTACCACTGTGGGATAAATTGTTTATCATTGTGTAAGCAGCGCATTCTTACAGTGGTGGAATTTTGTGACAGAGCTTAAGAATTGTTTGTAGAACTGTAGTATGTGGAACAGCAGAGAACAACTTGGTCCTATCCAAAGGAAAAGAAAAATATTCCCCCTCTCCTCTCAAATCCTTTTTAGTATTACATCAGGTTTAGGGGACTAAACATCATGTGCACTGGGGGTCAGCATAGGCATTTAACATCTGTGCTATTTGTGAATGCAATAATTAAGGAGGGTGGTGGCTCAGATGTTGGTTAAAGAGTTTTTGCTTTGAAGCAGTTTCTGCTTCCCTTTTTAAAAATGGAATGTTTGGAGAGGAATATCATTAGCTGTGCAGAGAAGCTGACTATTCACGGAAATATGGGCTGCTTTTTTATCTTTCTGCTAATACAGAGGTAAGATGATGAAAATAAAACAATAAATATCAGTATGATGTAAAAGCATTTTTTGATTTTCTTACAGAGCACAGAAGAGATGGCAGAAGAAAACAGTTTACGAATGCTAAAAAGAAAAAACAACAGGCATAAAGGTGCAACTCGCTTTATAGAACAACTAGGAGATACTGTGATCTGTTATCAGATCCATTCAGAGCATGGAGATGGTTGATAGCAATGATGCTGCAAATGTATATTTTTTTATTCTCCTGAGACAAGTGACTCTCCAAGCTCTGGCAGGGAAGCGGAAGCCTGATTTGCAGAATGACTGTGCAGGTTTTAATAATTGTGCAGCAAACAAATCTCTGTGCTTTGGCCGGCACTCTCTGTGTGATGTGAGCTGGTGAATTCACCTGGGAATGCCCCTGCTCCAGTTGGCTGCTATGTTCAGCTGTGTGTCTCTGGCAAACAGGGGTGCCTCTGCCTGACCCCCTCACCCCCATATCGATACAGTTACATTTGAAAAGGAATCACCTCAGTCTCCTGGCGCTGAACCCCTCCTGAAGGAGAGGGTTGCCATTCTGCCGGGCAGTGCTCTGGAATGGGTTAGCTGAGGAGGTGCTGTGAGGAGCAGGGGCTGAGTAGCAACCCAGCAGTGAGAGGGGAGTTCAGCACACCTCGAACAGGAGCTCTGTCTCACGGGGCAGGCGTGGGGCTTGCTAAAGGCTGCTCCAGTTGCTGCTGCCACCGCGTGCTTATCTTACTTTTTCAACCCTAGGTGGACATAGGGTGCTTAACACAATGTAGTATTTTACTGCATAAATACGCTATTACAACAGTGAAATCAACCACTGAACCCTTCCTTCAGTTCTGCAGTTTTCAAGTTACCCCAGAGGTCCTGCTGCAATTACTTGTCAGGATTATGCTGTCCCTTGGAAGCTTGGGAGGTGTTAGTGGTGATTATTCACCTTCCCATAGCTGTGTTTAGTACATGGGCACGGTATTGTAACAGTAGGTGGCTGCCTAATGTTTTGTCTGAATTTTTACTGCCACTATAAAGAACAGGGAACCTATAAAGAATCCTGGAATAGTAGGGCATCTAGTGTAAGTGAAATGGCATTTTTTTTTCTCACAAATGTCTCCAGTAAAAAAAAAATATTGTTTTTAATGGAGGCTGGCAGACTTTTGTGAGCTGCGTGATAGCTCTTTCCTTTTGAACAGCCCATCAGATTGATCTTACTGAAACCTGACACTGACCTGCTGCCTAAGATGAGGAAAAAATAAGTTATTTCCATAGCAATCCAAATCTGAGAAAGTAGACATACAAAATGGGCTGTAATAAACAAGTTTAATGCCTGGATCACTTGGAGGTTAAGTGGCCCCAATTCTCTTACCAAATTAATACTTATTCACTTCTTGCACTGTTTTCTGTCCTTTAGCCCGTTTAGTCCCGAGGACTGGAAAAAAAGAAAAAGCAAGACAAATCACTTGCTTTGCTATACTAGGGGATGTCAGGAGGCTTTAGGAATGGCACGTTTAGAGTTGTGGAGATACTTGCTTTTGATGAATGAGGCCAAATCTAGAGCTTAGGTAATTTTACACCCAGCGCAGTGCTCAAGTTTGCCTGACCACATTTTTGTTCCTACTGAGAAGGGCTGAGTGGGTAGCTGGAGGAGCCAGAGATTTGCATAAGTATTTGTTACTGGAAGGGGGGACTTTGGCTAAAGTTTTAGTTTCTGAAGCAAACGAGTAAAGCCTGCTTTAGAGATTACTTCTGTGTAAGTGTGTTTTTGTGTTTTAACAGTCCGAATAGACTTTCTTAGGAAATGCAAGCAAGCCGGGCTTCTGGATGACATATTTGAAGAAATGCTGGACACGCTTCACCTGGCGCAAGAAAAACTGATGGATGACAACACTTCAGAAACAGGTAATGGAGACTCATGGGGGACTCTGCTCTCAGAGCAGAAATGCTGATCTGAATGCAGGCACTTGGCCCTAGATCACCTTCCTGAGGGTTCTTCTGTAGTGCCAAATAACTGGGTCCTGTCTTATTTATGCATCTGCACTGCAGGTAGAGGGAGTATTTTTTGGTATACCTGTGTAAGCAGAGGGGAAGAGCTGCCAACTCAGCATGCTCCAGTAAGGCCTTCTAACCTGAATTTTTGAAGCCACCTTTTAGCTGTTGGCAGAAGCATAGGTGGGTTCAGCCTGACCTCTTCTCCCAGACTCTGAAGAGGAGAGAGGTCCTGAAGGGAATTGGAAGGTTTTATTTGGCTCATGAGTCTGTGTTGTTCTTACAGCTTCACAGAGGGACCACCTATCTGTTAATATCAGCACTCTCTTTTGAGGGAAAAATCCCTAAGTATGTACATTTTAAGTCTTTGGATGATTAGTTAGAACTTAATTGTCAACTGTTAGTGTGTGGGGGTTTCTTCGATTTCAGTATCAGCTTGTATGAAGCACTCTGTTCTTGGAGGATTCCACTCTAATGCTTTGTCCACAACACAGTGAAAAAAGAAAATACCAAACCTTCCTCTCCCATTGTCCTTCCAGCTTTACAAAGTTACGAAAATACCTTTGGATAAAGAATGCTAATTTATGCAAAGTAACTGAAGCACATGCATGGGAAGTGAAATGTCCCACCTGGCTCAATGAGCAGCTTGCGTGTAACATGACAGCAAGCTGCTAGAAGCAGTAATGAAGTCCATGACACAGCAGGGGTTCAAAGATTTTTGGCATTAAGGAAACCTCTTAATGGTCATGTGAACTCTATAGGTGTTTTGTATTTTGTTTCATTGGAAGCCTCAGTTAGGAAATTGAGGCATAATTCTGGCCTGGTTTTTACCATTGGACAGTGACAACACTGTCTCACGTGTCACATGATCTGTCAATAGGAATCGGTATGGTCGGCTCTGCCATTACACATACAGTTGTGACACAATGGAATGAAATATCACTTAAGTATATTGCTCTTTTTCACATGGGCTGTTCACATGGCGCAGACCCAAGAAGGGAATTACAGGTAGCCTTCCTTTCCTATTTTCTGTATGAAACTAAAAAAAAAAAAAAAAAAAGTAGAACTGACAAATTGATCCTTCTTTCTCAGTATGGATTATATGAAAAGAAAGACATCTTAAAACCTCAAGCAATTGGTATGATATAAATAATTCTTGGTTTGTGCTACTTCTAATGTAGGGCTCTGCATTAACATGAGGGTTCTGTAAACCTTTATTCAGTCATATTAAATCAAATTATCTCTTTTCCTCAGAGTATGAGGAGACAGTGATGTCACTCTTTGACTGTGGACTCTTTGAAAATATACTGACCAATATACATTCAGGTATGTGAAATAAGCTGTCAGAACAGTAGCAGTTGGTATGTCTTTTGGCACTGAGGTTATATTTCTGAGCATTTTGAGAAAATGACTATTTAAAATGAAAATACCAAAGAACTTTTTTCTCAACATAATATAAACAGTTGAATAAAAGCCATTGCTGCCTGAATCTAGAAATCAGTATGTCAAATCTGGCTGGCTGGCCTGAAGAGGGAAGCAAGTCACAGTTACACAGCTTTAAAAGACCAAAGGGTGTCCACCCCAGAGGAACTTCCTCTCCCACAGGGTGCACTGCTGTCCTGTTTCTGCAGGTCGTTTCCCTTCCTTCTCCACAGCCTCCCTTCAGCAGCTCGCATGCGTTGCAGCTCTGCTCCTGTCTGATGAATGCTGGGCAGACTGGCTGTTGCATTTCAGTTAAGAGCATTAAACACCAGGAGCAGAACTTACCTGGACCTGATGGCAGTTGTAACGTGCTTTGAAAAACAAGCTGAGGGTGCTCAGAGTGAAATGAAAACAAGGGCAGGAGCAGTTGCTTGGGGCCACCACTGTGGAAGGAAACTCTGGGGTTTGGACTCCAGTCCCAGCTGTTGGAAGCAACAAGGTTAAAACTTTTCAGGTCGGAAAGTCCCTTGCTCCCATTTCCCTCTCTAACAGCTAGCAGCTGCCTTCTGCTTTAATTCATCCCTGTGAAGAGGGAAATGGATTTTAATTAGCTAACACTGAGGCTCAGTGCATGGTGGTGTTTGCTAATGTTTGCTGTTTCCCCTTCACTTGACTGAAAAAGCCAGGCTCCTCTCTTCAGTCTCCTGTTCCTGCATTAAATCCCTCTTTTGTAAAAGGGAGTGACTGGTGTTGCAGTTATCTGACACAAGGTTCCCCCAGTGCCTCATCTGAGGGCATTAAAACAGCTCTGTTCAAAACTCCTCATGTGACACAACCTTGGATCACACTTGTTTCTTTCAATTACTTCATCCTCTTCTCAGCTTACAGGAGAAATGCTTGATATTGGCACCTACATACACACAACTGTGTGATTCTCAGGTGTGAAAGTTGTCCCCTCTCCAGTTCTTCGCTATTTGAGCGGCTCAGTTCTTCCTGTACCACACAATCTTCTTTTCTGATACCGTCTACTTTTAATTTCAAGGTCAGTAATGAAAACACACATCCAAGAGGAGCTCTTAAAATGAGTGAGAAAGGAATGAAAACCGTGTTAATTAGAAGTGAAACTGTAGGGAGGGAAGGAAATCTCCAGCTTTTTTTTTTTTTGTCGTAATCTGCCTTCCAAGCTCTAGCTAGCAAGTCTCTGTGATGACATAAAAAGTCTAAGACTAAATAAAGTAGAACTAAAATAAATAACTGTGTCTTCTTTGATCTTTCTCCTGGAACTGATGATTTCAGGTTATCTGACATGCTTTAACTTCAATCCATATTTTTCATTTTATCTTTTTTTCACTTCTTGGATCATTGTGCAAAACCTGTTCTAAAGCCTTATGCATCAGCACATCAAGGTTACTCTGAACTCCAATTGTTGATACCACTTTTTAAAATCCCTTTTATATATTAGGGATAAACAATTACTTCACAGCAAGCAGCTTTACTGCAACCTTAACTGCATTTAAAACTTTTCATATGGGACCTGCTATTGCCTCGTTTTAGATTTCTGGGTTGGAGGTTCTCGTTCTCTCCTCCAGGGAAGAGTGACATCCTTTAGTTTTGCTTTCTGTTCTGTTGTCGTGTGTCCTGCTCAGAGCGATACCTCAGTCAGCTTTAATCTCCCCTTCATGCTGGCCAGTGGTCTGTCCAGTAGCTTTTGAGCTCCTTGGTAGCGTTTGTTTTCAGGGGATATGCCGGGGTGAATTCTGCTGCTGGGTTGTGCAGAGGAAGAAGGTGGTACTTGGTTTTCACACTGCTGTGCTGCCTTCACTGAGAGCCGGGTTGTGTTTTGCCTCCTGGTGGAGACTGCGGCCCCCAGCCTGCAGCAGAGCTTAGTTGCCAGCTGGGGTCAAAGCCCAACACTTAGGGAGGAGCAAGCGCAGCCGTTCCAGGTCCACATTCACCCCACCATTGCCGACTTTACAGAAATACATATTGTTTCTCTTTAGGTCATCTCCTGTATGAGGTGGAAGGTTCCCAATCTGTTACCTGCCTTCCTGTGGAAGCACTCCCACAGGCCAGTCATTCCCATTGCTGACATCTTTCTCTGGGCTATTTCTGTTTATGCCCCACATCCTTTTGGAAGGAGGGAAACGGAGCCTTTGTCCTCCAGCTGTAGGTCACCCATATGCTGAATACAGTAACACAATGTTTGCTCTTTGTTTTATTTCTGATAATTTATTAATTCATATCCAAATATTCCCTAAGAGTTTTTTCTTCCAGCTCCCACTCATCCAGTTTTTTCTTCAGATTTGTGCCTGCTCGTTCTTTTAACTGCACAGAAGGTGTTACCCAGCGTGAAGGCCGCCCGTGGCCAGTAATGCAGATGGCAGTTCCCATTGCAGCCTTGTCAACTAAACAGTGGGCGCGGCCTGGGGTGGGGCAGAGATGGGATCTGCTGTCAAGTGTGAGTGACACCTGACAGCAGAGGAAAGCAGAGGGAAGAGGGGTCACCTGCTTTTTTCAGTCAGAGGCATCAGGTGAGGTGTCAGGTCCCTCTAATGAACCGCTGCCCAGAATTTTCAACAGGCAGCGGGCATCACCATTGTTGGGGCTGCCCGTTTTCAACATCCGCGCTCAACCTCAGTGGGCAATGTATGTAAAAATGCATTACAAAAGTGTGTGCATGTACATAATCTTCTGCGTACACACACAAACAGCAGCAGTGATGGGCTTTCTGCACAAAGAGGAAGAAGCAGGGGGGAGGCAGAAGGCCAAAGGTGCTTTTTTTAAAAAAAAAAAAAAAAGTCACAGTTAACTACAGAGCCTGAACCATACTTCAGAGTGAAAAGGTAAATGTCTAGAGCTGCTTTCCCCACTCTACCCATTACAAGTGTGGAGACCTGCTTCAGTGTCTTCCCACACACACACCCAAAAGAGAAAAATACGTTCGGGTTTGTACAAAACACCCTTTGCTTCTTAATCTTAACTCTGACATTCCTACACACAGTTTGTTGTTCACTGACTAACTTTGCTGCTCAGAGGTTACTGACACCTCTGTGTGCGTTATTACTGAACAAAGCAAGTGCTTCATTTAAAACTTGCAATTAACAACTAAGGTTGTGGTAATGCTTCTGAACTCTAGCGAGGCCTGTTAGGGAGCCCTCAACTGACTTCAACAGTCTTTGCCTTCAGGGGAATGGAAGCGATAGAGAAGCAGCAAGTCAGGCAGGCAGGGCTTTGCAAAGAAGGTAAAGAATTTGGTTAATCTCATCAGCATACTGGAAGCAACTTTTTTTTCCAGAAGCAGGAACATTAAATGCTTCTGAGTCACATTTTGGAGAATCTAGCTATTGTATGCATTTGTCCAAGCCATCTCCTTTTAGGTTTAATGTTGTTGTTGTTGTTGGCTAAAGTCCAGTGAGCTTGTAAATTTGCTTTAAGTATGTAATTGTCTTTAAAGATTTAAAATGAATCTTTATTGGAGGCATCCCCATACAAATGGATTCTGCAAATGGAACTGTTAAAGCTCATATGCCAAGTAACGTTGGGTTAAGTCACTGAACTAGTAATTTTTACACTTGTTGTGATGGTTTAAATTAAATCTATAATGTAGGTAGGTTTGAGATTACAGTATATGGATGACAAAGTATGTAACTACTTTTTTCTTTTGACACTTTAATACTTCAACTGGTCCCTTCCATACAACACACAGTCGCTCTCTATGAGGAGACCAAGTGTGTATATATAACATGTATTTTAATTTAATAATAGTTACATATGACTAAAAGCTTTTATCCTTTCTTTTTCCTAATAGGAACAGAGGAAAAAATCCAGGAACTTCTGGAAAGTAGAAAAAGACTGGATAACAAGATTGAGCTACTGCAAGACTTAAAAGAAGTTGTTCTTCCTCCCCAAGAGAACACCGCTAGTACCTCCAGTATGGTGTCTGAATAACCCCTCAGTCTGTCTGTAACGGTGTCAATATTTAGGGTTTTATAATCATAGGAATCATACAGCATCTCTGGTCAGTGTCTAAGTAATTCCCTCCCACCCCCAAGACACAGACACAGCAAGAACTGGGCGTTTTACTCCTTTTTATACCTCACTATTGCAATAATTTGAAATGGTCTGTTTCTTTAAATTTTACAAGGGATCAATGAGTGTTAAACACCAAATTTAGCTTTTTTTAAAGCTCAACAAAACCCTCTAATGAAGAGTGTTTTCTCAAAGTCAAGGCAGCATCAGCTTGTTAATTTGTTCACTCCCTCCTGCCTGTGTGCAGTAGCTGCTTCCCTGTCTGCATAAAGACAGCAATGTTTTTAAGGATCACAGTGCTGCTTTGGCTTTCCAAAAAAGATAAATTAGCAGAACCTGCACTCAAAGAAGCCTTCTGAATTATGAACAGGAGTTTGGTTTTATATAAAACTCGTGCTGTAATGACAGGGGTGAAACTGTTTGCAGGCAGACCAGAAATTGTTGGGCATCATAAACAACATGTACAATGTAAAATGGATCAAACAATGGACTGTATCTTCCTTTCTCCATTAAGGAAGGATTTGACTTCCATGTGTTTTGTCCTAAAATATGGTTTGAATACAGAAAAGCACTGTTTAGCTAAAAAAGTGTAAGTTAACGAAATAAAACGTTTTTAAGAAAGCTGTGTAGTCATGCTCACTAGCCCCACTGTTGCACGGGCCATGGTGGAGGAGGGGGTGTGCTGTCAGTCCGCGCCCTTTGCTGTTACAGCAGCTGTGCTCGCTCCAGGACTAGTAACAAGTTGTAGCTTGCGCTGGTTCTGTGCAGGGGTGGAGATCAGTCAGCACAGAATAACAACATCCAAAACCTAAGCACTCAGGGTAGAACAATTAGCTGTGCCCCACAGGACAAGATACTAGTGGTTTTTACTTGCTTATACAGCTCAGGCCCGCTTGGCTGGCCAGGACTTGAAACACCATCAGTTTACTGCCTGATGGACTGGAGCACCACTGCCCAGCACACTCCCACCCAAAACAAAAGTGCATTAACGTGGAGCACAGCTTTATCTGTTCTTAGGGAACAGACATACAAATCCACTGTTGTGGGAAAGACACAAAAGCTCATGTGAGTTCCTTTTCCCTATAGCAGCACTCTGAATCACTGACAAGCTTCGGACAGCTTAGAGGGGAAGTCCTGTACTCTGGTTCTACCCTGCCCTGCCAGGCCTTTACAAGTTGCAATCTAAAACAAGTTGTTCACTAGAAACATTTACAACACATTTGGAAGCCTTTTGTCAGGCTATCTTAGCCCCAGTCCCCAACATCATGCTACAGAAGCTCCCTAGCTCCCTAGTCTCTGCCAAAAATACAAAATTCTGGGCTTTGTAAAACCTCACAGTCATAACCCCAAAATCTGACCCATAGTTAAGTTGACCTGAAGTTCCAGGTCCTCTGCTTTACCCCCTGATTGGTGCAGATGTAACACCTTAAAAGCACCCAATAAAACCAGCAAGTGTGTATGTCTGTACATACCTGCTGTGAGGTTACAGGCACGTACAGATTTATTAGTGAAGAAAACCAGATCCATAAATTGCAATCACTGGGGTTTACATTAGACTTTACAAATAAATTTGCTGTTTTCTGAAATTGAGATTACAGGTATTTGTCAAGCCCTGTGAAATCAGTAATACTCTATGGGGCTGTTGTTTATTTTGGGGAGGGGCTTTTTGTTGTGTTTTGGTTTTTTTTTTTTAAATAAAGCAACTTAGATGATGTACATAACACAAAAAGCTTGCTATTTTCTTCAAAGTCCAAAGAAGTTTTCCAACAAATGGGTACAAAAAAAGGTGTATTTTATTACATGTAGTTTAAATTTATACACTTAAATGCAAAAACCCCATTTTAAGAGCAGTGTACCCCTTCCCCTCTAAAGGAACTGACATCATCTGAAGTCAACAAAGAGGGAATTTTTTCCATTAACCATTATAAATATTGAACAGATTACACAAAGTATACATTATAACTTATATTAAGGTATACCCAAATACAGAGATTTACTTCCAATTAGATTTGCTAGCTACCCCTTTCTTCAAAGCTACTTGTGTAGGCTGCTTTGAGGATATATTATTTTTGCACACTTCTCTAAGCACTGAATACACTTGGTTAATTACACACAGCAAATGGCAAATTCATTCACAATCATGCAAATGCTGTAAGAGAGATCCATGCCATTTGCTTCTCTCTAATCCCAGGGAGTTAATGATTTGAGTGACATCATTCAGTGGCTCAGGTCAGATTACTCTCCAAAACGTAAACTGAAAACACAGGCGGTGCTAGATCTGACATTTCCTAGGCTAAAAAGGTAAGTGCTTATCACTGGCTGGTATCCTTTGCACACTGCAGCGTTGCCTCTCTCCATCCAAAATCTTGAGCTGGTTCCACCATCCAGGTTTGCCAAATGTAAGTGAATATTTTGCTTGACATTTTTACAACAGTTCACTCAGCACAGAAAACGTGTTTTCACTGTGGCCTTTCACTTCTTCTGGTACGAGACCAGGTAACACTTGCTTTTGCCCGTACAGTTATGACATCCTGTTATAACTGCAAAAATCCTACAAATACCCGTAACTTACAGCCTCATTTCAGTTCTTAAAGGCTCCACATTTACTGGCTTTAGCAATGAATTCCTTTAGCAGGGGACCATCCATTTGCCAAAATGCTGTAGTTTGTGTCACTTCCGTCAAATGATTGACACAAAACTTAAAGCAGAATTCCTCTAAGTCCTAAACAGAAAAAAAAAAAAGAAAAAAATCATCTTATCTTTGCTTCCATCACAGAAAATTACATCTAGACATAAGTGCCTGTATATGCTTTATTTTTGCAGAGAATTAGACAAACACATTAACTCAGTGGCTCTCAATGTTTTTTCCCCCACACAGTCACTATGTAAATACAACAGAAAATTATAATTCTACCCATGTAGCATTGTTACAAGGGCAAGAATAACCATAATTTGTTTCTCGCTATATAGCTGCAGACACAAAAATCTGAGCAATATATTTTTTTAAAGTTTTCCCACTTGGAAGAGTTTCAGCTACATTCACTGACAATTATTAAATCCAATACAAACAGGAGCTCTTGAGGTAATGATACGTAACCAAGACTGTAGATTAAGAAAATTCAGCTCTTTAATTCCATAATACAAACTCTAATCTATTTCCTGCTTAGTTAAAGGCTTAACTAAAGCCTTGAAGTCGTGTGTCACCAGGCTCAATGCAAGCGTATACTAATGGGATAGTTTTAAAGCTAGGTTTAGGCAGAAAGCCTTTCTGTGCATTAGACTCGTGTTACAAATCTACTCTTTGTGGTGCAGCTCTAAGCTGCTATAGGGAGGATGCTGCAGCCCTGACCAAATAACAACTCCCCACCCTGTTCTAATTTATTATCTTACAAGTTTGTAGAACTTGTACGTTATAGGTGAGAACACACCCTCCCTTAGCTGCTCAGTAGACTGGGTGCTGCAGTAAGGCATAACAAATTTGCAGAGCTCTTTAAGCCACATGAGGTATGAAAAGCTGATTAATATTCATATTTTCACTTAGGTCAATACTGAAAGCTAGGGCAACTGTGTGCCAGTGAGAGTTCTTGACACAATAACATAAAAATATATCCTGGCCTAAAACCAGGCATTCTGAAGCTGCAGATCTTGACTTGTGTGGCATCTGTGCAATGAAAAAAGACAAGCTTATTAGAACTGAACACCGATGGTTTTCTTTTTTATCTTTAAGTAACAGAATGAACTAGCATTTTAAACAAAATTACATCATACACATTACAATATTTTGCACTGCTTTATTAAAAATGAAATCATATTCCAAGTCAATGCAACAGAAGCATACAATAAACAGAAATACTGTAGAATTAGTAACTTTGGGAAATTCAAAGTTCTGTATCAAAAAAGGCTGAATTTCATTTGCAGAAGCATGCACTTCCAGAAAAGTACTTAACAGATTTCAGTGAATAAAGGCACAAGGTACATCCAATGATTATTTTAAAAGCTACAAGAAGGAGCCAGACCTGACCTAATTCTAACCACTTCAGTCAGTCACCAAAAGAAAGTATAAGAGAGTTTCATGTCATGGAGGTGTTTTAAATTAGTGAAGCAGCTTCTTTTAAGTGCTGTCTTCCAGATGCACAATCCCTTGGAACAAATGACATCACTCAAGCAATTTCAGGCCCCCACCCCTCATTACTGCACTTAAAACCTGCTTTTTACTAAAAACAAACCCCTCAGCATCTCCCACTCTCTCCTTGATGCAGTATTTAAGCCTATGGTTCTAATTTAATTTCTAACTTCATTTGGCTAGTGAGATACAGCCAAGGCTTAGTAATTGGACTTCTACCCTCTACAAGCAGAATCCATCACACACTGAAGACTCATCCTGCAAACAATCTTTTAGGGCTAAAATATGTAAATTTCATATTTTCCATGAACTCCCGCCAAAAAAATTGCTATTCGCAGTAGAGCTGAAGCCACAATTCAAACACTTAACACAGCCCTCGGGTAAAGTGTATTAAACAAGCAACACACTACAAGGCTCTGAAATAAGTTAGGGCATCTGCATGCCAATTGACAGACAGTAAGTACAAGAAAAAGCGGTGAGTTGATTTACTGAGTACCAAAACTGCTTTATAAGCATAAGTAGCAAATTAAAAACTAACCAATCGCAAAGTTGCAAACACGATGCACAGATACTATGCTGAACACAAATAGCCAAAGCAAACCCGGGAATACTTCCTGATTAGTTCATGAAGCAGCGTGTTAGTGATCTAGTACTGAAGTCAGACATTATGCAGTAGGGAAGTTTCACTAGCCTTCCCCCCTTTTCACACAATGTTTCTCTATCTTCAACATTTATCAGGGCCATAAAGCAGTTCATACCCTGTCATTTCATTAGCATACTGTGAAGACTTACAGTCTATTTGACTGTAGCTAAACAAAAAGCCAACAAAATAACACCCTGACAGTGAAAAAAAAACCCAAATGCACTCAATCCCCAAACCTACCATCATATGACATCACACCACCTTACAAATAAGTAACTTAAGGCTTACAAAATTGCTTTTTGTAGTGTTATGGGCTTTGTTTTATATTTAAAACCTTCCCTTGCTTAAGGGTTAGTGTTTTCATCCTCAGAAAATTTTTGTTACAGCTTGCCCTGCCCCACCCAGAAACAGTAATTCATGAAGCTTGACAGTGTCATAACCTTTTATCATGAAATTAAGCAATACAAACATTTACAGATACTAAGTCTCAGCCTGGGACTTAAGTCAGCTTTAGCTAATCTGTATATGAGTTCACCTTCCCAGTACTGGTTTATGGGAAAAAACAAAAAAAATCTCTTATGGCAAACACAGTTTTTATAAGTCCAACGTTCTCAAATTCTGAAAATGGCAAATAGCATTATCTGATAATAAGTGAGAGAGCGCTTATATGAAAATATAACTGGCTGCTTTTCTCCATTTAAGTCAGAAAGTAGCCACCTATTTAAGAGATTGAAGTTTAGAAGTTTACCTCTGCATCATATCTGACAGCAGCAGAGAGCAATGAAAATGCATTTTCCACAGTAATTCCTCTCTTGATAATGTGTTGACACAGTTTTTTCAGTCTATTTTCACAGT